CCCAGCCCGTACCCTCAAAATACATAAAGGATTGGATTTTCAATATCCAAACCCTCCCTACACATGAAAATGCAAAACCCTCTCTGACCTTACCCTCTTTGCATTTGAGGGTGGGGGCTCAGGTTGGCGGGTTGGGTCTAAAACTTGTGTCTCTAATTTCCTAATATTTATTTTTTGCTGTATAAAGCAATAAACAAGTAAAATAACATGAACAAACATCAAAATGTCTAATTATTTGATTAAAGAATGTAGAAAACACATAAACTATCAATTGTTCTCCACATAAAAGTCAAAATATTATTAAATTCAACACTTAATACATAAGCTTACATTCCTTCAAACAATATACAGGTTGGGAAGAGTTGGGTTGGGTTTAACCTAATACCATACCTTACTCATACCCCTATAGATTATAAAATTTCAAAACCCTTACCAACCCCAAATAGGGTAGAAATTGTCATCCCTTCTAATAAGTCATATTCTTCTATCTATCATTACACTTTAACTGTCATAGTTTTAGAATAGATTGGTTTGGGCCTACATGTGGAATATGGGCTGTCTCAACCACCCAGCCTGACATTTTTCATAGATTGGGCTTCCAGCTTCCATTGAGGCCTTGGGTAGAGACCGGATCTGCTCCTCACACCTGGCGCCTCACAGGCACCTCACACACACATCCTATCATGTATTGAAAACATCTCCAGTACTTATTAATTATTATTCACGGGAGATATTCTCAATGCACGGTGGATGTGCCTATGAGGAGCAGATCCCGTCACCCTTGGCTAACCCAAACATGGTACAATTCTGAACCAACCACATCCGAGCCCCATTGATTCGAGCCTGCCAAGACTTATATATGTCTGTATTTACACATGTATATGTGCAATAATGTGTTTATACTGATTTTACTCAAGACTGATTGCCGAGAGAATATATGGATATGAAAGAAATTAAAACTATTTTTGTTTATAGAAAACAAGAGGGACAGAAGGTTGATAACCAACATTTCAAAGAAAACTTCTGAAATTAAGAAAATCATGTTATAGGTTTCACCTACTTCCTTAGGTTGTATTGCAACCACAGTACCAAACATATGCTTAGACCAACCAAAATTTTGTTTTCAGATTTTAGATATCTCTCTCACACATACACACAGTTGGACAACCAAATGACGACGAAGCTTAATTTATAGAATTTGGAGCATAGTGGTTAGTTGAAGTTTCTGAAASATAAGCAATTCATGCTAACTTTACAACCAATTGGACTATATGACTTAAATGGTCATCTCAATGTGTATCTAGTCTTAGTCTAAAGCAAACTCTTGTTTTTCTTGATTCCCATCTTTAGAAAAGCATAAACAGATTGAACATTCATGTTATATGATTCATATGGTCATCTCCCCTGTTATATATTATAATATAAAAGTGAAGTGGTCGTTGTCACTCATGCCATATCTACATTGCCTAACAAGTAAAGGCTTCTAGGAAACACCAAAAAATATCATATCAATGTGGACTAGGCCTCTCTTTAATTCTCTTGCGTTTTTTTTTTGGCTTCATCTTTAGTTCTCTTTCTTTTTTTTTTGAGGTAAAAAGCACAAAATTCATTTATCTCAGCTCAAAAATATCAGATAGTACAATACAAATAAGAAAGTCCAGACAAACACACCAAGTAGAAATTCTAGGACAAATTACAACAGTTCTGGCTAAAAGATGAGCTGAGGAGATTTACACAAAAGGCTCTTGATGAAACTTCTGGAATCAGCAATAATGGAGCTGATACACCACAGTGGATCTATGGGATCCATTATTAAAAGCTTAGGATCCATTTGGTTTACAGTTGGAAACTGAAACGGAGTTGGAATGGTCTATTCCTCCCACCTGTTTGGTTCTAACAAGAATCGGAATCAATTGGAATGGATTCTCATTCCAAAGGGAAGGGGGATGGAATGACCATTCTAACAGTTGGAATCAGAATCTGATTCCAGGCCTATAAACCAAACAGACCCTTAGTGATATTCAGAGCATTGCCTTCGAGTTCTACATTTTGAAGAGATAACTGTAGGGCAAACCATGGAAGAATGCTTGAGACTCTGCTCTAAAGGTGAACAGCTGGGCAGTGGAACAACCCTTGAGAGAGATGGTGGCCATGGTGGTCAAGGATCAAAATCCCCACCCTCCTGCACTATTGAGACTTGTAGCCCTAGCCCTTTCCTTATTAATTTTAAGAGATTGTGACTGGGGCTGACAGGTGCAAGGGGTACTATGTTCATTCTCTCCTGTCAATTCCTGCGCAATTAGGGGTGTCAATGGATCGGTTTTGGATTGGACCCCATCCAAACCAAAATCAAATTGGACAGATTGGATGGACCAACAAGACATATTGAATTGGACCATCAGTCCAGACTTAATGGTCCAAAGTATTATTGGATTGGATTGGACCTGGTCCATCCAAAATGAATTTATATTAGATTGGGTTGGATACTTGGATTTAGCCAATGTCTGGTCCATCGATACAAGATAAGAATATAGGTGTCAATGGACCAGGTTTCGGTTAGAATCAGATGTATGCATTCCAACACTCTACCAACTAGGGGTGTCAATAGACCGGTTTTGGGTTAGACTCCGTACAAATCAAAATCTATTTGGACAGATTGGATGGACCAATAAGACATATTGAGTTTGGACGGACTGGGCGGACCAATATGACATATTGGATTAGACCTGATCCGTCCATAATGAACTTATATTGAATTGAGCCAATATGGTCCATTTGTAATGGACTCACACTGGACTGGACTGGATTGTACCAAATCCAATCCAATTGACACCCCTACTACCAACATGATCGGACACCACGTATCTCACCATGACACTGAGGAGCCACAATAAAAGTGAAACCTGTCATGTATCTCAGATTGGTGAAGCTTCTCTTCCTAACATCTTCTTCTTCATCTCATCAGCAACAGCTCCGCAATGTCGACATTGGTGCCTATGTTCTTCTTCATACCCCCCCCCCCATGGTCGCTACCACTACATAGGAGAGTCCGAATTCAACAAGTTTTACGGTTTTGAAGAAATTTTTTAGGCCTTGGACAGGTGAAGTTTCTACCACCTAACAAGGGAAGATATTCGATGCTAATGCTGTGGGATGTACTGTATTAAATACAAGAAAACATGGTTTTTAAAACCGATCCGGAGACCGAACCGGTCAGGGGTCCGGTTACCAGGTCAAATGGTCTGATCATTCAAACTGAACGGGCGGCCCGTTCTAACAAAAAAATAAAAAATGGTCAAAATCGTTTGAACGGTCTGAATAGTTCAAACGGTTCGAACGATTAACCACCCAGGTCAGCGGTTTACTGACCAAAATCAACGGTTTTGAACAAATTTCCGATTTTGGGGAAACCGAAACCGATCACCTGACCGATTCCCAATTTTTCCAGTCCAACCATCCAGTCCGGTCCGCTTTTGAAAACCATGCAAGCAAATATGCATTGAGAGGAAAGCCCTAGCACTAATCTTATTTAAACTTCTACGTTTTATTTCTTAAAAAACGAGGTGTTCATCTTCTGATCATATTTCTTGATATATAGCTAGAAAAATAAAAGGAATTTTAGATAAGTACCTTCCGGTCGGGCTCGTAGACAAGTCATCATCCAAAACACTAGACTTCCATCGTAAGAACTAAGAACTAAAGGCAATGAAACAAGAAACTCAAAGCAAAAATCTTTGGAAGGGTGATGGGGAGCTTCCTGTGTTCAAGAATGCTATTTATTCTGGATTCTGATAGGGGAATATGTCCCTACTTTACTGCCAAAATGAGAAGTCTCTCTTTCAAGCAAAGAGCACAAACTACCAAAATGGAAATAACAGCAAGGCTTCTCTTCACTATAATCATCATTCATGTTTGTAAGAAAGTGTCTGAGATGTTTCGTAGGAGTCTCTTTCTAGAGTGACGGTGGAAGCACAATTCAATGTTGATGAGGGCGATCTGTTTCCAAGCTAATTACAGAGACCAACAAGGGAAAGAACAACGTGGAGGGAGAGAGAGAGAGACGTTTGGAGGTGAAGGATGGTCGAGGCAATTTGTTCAAAAAATCTGGCCTTCCTCGTTAAAAACAAACCCAGAAGAATCTATCCAATGAGTTTTGGGCTGATGTAAGAGAGAGAGAGAGAGAGAACTTGAGCTACGTTTGACAGAATGTCTCAGCGAGAGTTTATTTTTCAAGAAAAACCATTTCTTCCATTGGAGAGAGCGTGTATGTTGTAACAAGAAAACCCAGAACTGTCTCTTGGCGAGTTAAAGCCTTCGACAACTTGTTCCAAGATTCACCGGTTGCAGAGCAACCGGAATTTTTGTTCTACGATCCACCGTTGTCCAAAGTAAGGTTCAAAGTATTGATGGGCCGATATGTATCATGTAGGTGGCTTCCCGATATGCCCCTACAGAGAGTATAGAAGTTTTAAACGGTTCAGTGTGGAGGAGCCTTAAACCAGCCCCTCTGAACTGATTTTGAAAAAATAAAAAAAAAGGCAAAAATTAGTATTGATATCACCCCATACACTCCTACCGGCGTATCGGTGTATCAATATCACCCGATACACCCCTACTAATTGTAAGTTGCCACACCGCAGTATGGATACTCCAGGTACTCCGACCACCAGAGCACCGGAAACCACATAGATGATAGATGGCAGTGTCCCAACATACCAAACATTCCCACAGTGGTCTAGGAGAACCATCAAATTATATGGTGAATTATAACTATAAAAAAGTATTTTAAAAATTTTTAAAAATAACAGTCATGTGATTAAACAGTGTGACAGAAAATTAACAGAAGGTTACTTAAACAATTTCCTTACCAATAGGGATACTTTAAAAAAATTGCCCTAATTAAATTGGTTTTCTGAAAAATTAAGATATAAACGCCACCAATGTTGCGTGTTCAGGTGTGACTGTGTGAGGTGGTGTATAGTTCAAAATAGATTGGTAAATAATGATAAAATTCTAGAGCAGCATTGCATGCCATTAAACTTGCAAATTTCAAAGATGCCGAAGCCTAAGAGTTGCTTCTCCATCATCTAAGTTCAGAACACCAGAGATAAAGCATAGCTCAATAAGAGGAAACAAGGAAAGGTCTCTCCCTAGAATAACAAAATTTCAAAAACTCAAATCCTAATCTCGATCTCTCTAGATCACTCAATTCATCTATCAGCTTCTGAAGATATAATCATTGATAGGAATTACATAAACAAGTTGGGCCTTGATGCCTTGTATGTGGTTTTAAGCTTCCTGGTTGGAGGCCTGACCTTCTTGAACACCAAGGGGAACTTAATCTTGGCATTGTGGAACTGCTTGGTGCTCTCTCTCTTGCAGAGGCTAGCTGGAATGGTGGCTGTCTTGATGATCTGGATGCACGGATACCTCACCCTGTGGCGAGAAGCCATCTCATTGTACATCTGTTCAACAGCACCATTAAGAGTAGTGTCACGGTACTCCTTGTACATGTTGTGATAACCAGTTCGGCTTTGATAACGCAACCAAATTCCATAGTTCTTAATCTTGGTTGGGTTCTTCTCAAAAATCTGTAATGAAAACAATGGTCAACACAAGGCCCATCTAAAACCACAAGAAGCAACTAAATGGATTGTTGTATGAAACAGAAAGATTTAGCAAAGAGAAGGAATAATCTAGCAGAATCACTAGCAGTAGCATATAAAAATGTTAATTTGTTTTTTTTCTCAGTTAAAAACCACAAACCCTCTACCATCTCCCTGAAAAACAAAAAATTGCTCTATATCCTCACTAATATCTCTAGTCACAGAGATTGGTGAACAGAAAGAAATAAAACATCAGCAGTCTGAAAAAATAAAGTGCAGCTTTAAATGGCCAAAATGTTAAATGATTGCTAGAAAACAGAATTGCAGCACATTGGATGGTATACACATAATGGGCTGAATCATCTATTTCACTATTTCCCTCTTCATCCTGGATTTTAGGAAATGCAAAATGTTTAATTCTACCATCAGAATTAGAAATTTGGCACAAGTAGCCTAACACTTACTGCACGACATTTATTGCTTGCTATAGATACAGTAGAAATTTATACAAGGATGCAATGCATATTATACCATATAATGTTAAATTATTAATAAATCAATTATGCCCCACATATTACTTTGAATTTTAAGGATCTCTCATCTGAAAGATTAAAGAACTTAAGATTAAAGAACTTCTCAAAGCATCAACTTTGCTAGCCAAGTGCTCACAACACAATATCTACAATATGTATGAAAACCAAGTGCTTTTAATGCACCTGTGCATAATCAAGACAAGAAATGAATACATGAAGACTGATGTCAAGAGAATGGAAGAATTAAGTTGCAAACCTTAGAAGGACCCAAAAATTTATATATTTAGTATTTCTTTTGTTTAGTTACAAATAAGAAAAGCAACTGTGTGGTAACTTCAGGTACATTAGAAGGAAAAGTCACTACAAGAAAAACGGTCAGAGCCAGCAGTCTTTCTGACCGCCACTATAGAGATATCTGAGGCGGCGGACTTTCAAAGACTGCCGCCTACATTCGTTTTAAAAGCTGATGCAGTGGTTATTAGTATCCATTCGGCGGATTTTACTGTGAACCGGAATTAAACCGATCTAACCTTACAACGGACCGGTGTGGAGAAATGCAGGGAGGCAAAAAATTTCTTTCTCCTGCGCAAATTCTCCTTCCTATTCAAAGAGACAGAAGGTTTTCTAATTTCCAGCAGAGAACCTTGCAAAGAATTTTGGAAGAAGACAAGTTATTCTTCACAAGTAAGAAAGTTGGGAAGAAAATCTAGGGTTGTGCAAATTTCTGAATAACCTTTGTTCATCCGTGCAAGAGAAGAGAGAGGGCAACCTCTGTTTGTTCGAGCTAGGGTTTCCCTTTGTGCTTGAGATGAGGGAAATTTCTGGGCGCTATCCAAGCAAACACCAACCTCTGTTTGTTCAAGCAAGAGAAGAGAAGAGAAGGTAACGTTCTTTTAATAGTTTTCATAATCAGCGGCAGTGAACATTTGCAATATAATCTTCAATGTTCTTTGATGGTTGCTAGGAGGCCGAGATATCCGCCTCTATCACCTCAGTCTCATCGAGGACCCTGGATATACTGCTCAAAAGATGGGCTCCACCGTTCTCAATCTAAAATGTGTAGATGCTCAGGTTGTTCCATTAAAGAGTTTTAGTTTAACTTCACGTTTCAAGCTTTAGCTCCCGAATTGAATTGATGGTTTCCCTTTTTGTTTGTCACTTTCCATCAGACAGGGCTAATGGGTAAAATGCTTCTAGAGTTCCAAACTGAGATGAAAAGAAACTGAAATATGCTAAAAGATGAAAAAGAATGAAAATAATTCCAAATCACATCAGAGTTGAGACAATGATGATCTAGCAAGAAGAAATTCTAACACCAATTGGAGGGGTGAAAAGGGTTGTCACTTTCCAAATCTCATGCGTCTCCTTCATTTCCTTTTTCTTCTTCATTGATCTGCTTTATTGCAGGGGTGTTAAAGGGTTGTGGTTGATGTGGTGTTTAAAAGCTGCCTGGAACAAAGTGATGATTTATTTATGTGGCACTATGGAAGTATGAAGAATGTATAGATGATTCATTTATGGAGTGCTTAGGAGCTGCATATCAACAAAATGGTTTCACTAATTTCTCATTACATTTAAGTCCAAACTTTATCATTAAAAGTGGGTTCGTTAAATAACACCAATTGGATTTAAGATGACTAAACTTTAGAATTTAAATGGATAAATTTTATTTATTTTTCCTTTCTGTTTGTTCTGGTAATGGCTTCATTGTGAGGGGCCGTTTGATAACAGCTTACATTGCTCAACTGAATTACTTATTGCTTTGTTTTTTACTGGATAATAAAATTAAATAATGAAATATTCAAGGCCCCTAAGTGGTGGAATATGTGTTCAAAAATCAAACTGAGATGATTCAAAGAGATCTAAGGTTGAGATGATTCAAAGAGATCTAAGGTGGCAGTCAGGACCGCCACCTAAAAACTGAAGAAACACTTTGACGGACCTAAGGCGGCAATTCAAAGGTATCTAAGCTGGCGCTCCAGACCGCTGCCTTTATCAACTCTGAGCTGGCAGTTCTAACATACCGTCGATTTAGGAATGATTGACCCGCGTCGGACCGGACATCAAAGGCGGCGGTCTTGATCAAGGGGGCAGACTCATGACTGCCAACTTAGATCTAAGGTGGCAGCCTAATGGGCTAAGTTGGCGGTCTTACGTCCACCGACTTTGACCGTTTTCTTGTAGTGAGTGGAAAAGAATTTAAAATCGATTGTTACATAATATAAATTTTCTAGATACAATGTTCTCTGTCATTTGCACAAAAAGATACAAGGGATAATAATGTTGTGTGGACTCACTCCCAAGGCCTCTAGACACCAAATACACCATATTATGATCCTCATCACAAAAAGGAGATGGAAATAAGAGAGGATAAAAGTCGGGCAGTTCCAATTAAGAAGCTAAATAGGACCCTATGCCAATTAAGCCAAATCCTGATATTACTTATGTCCAAAATCTGCCTAAACTTTAATCCATCATCCAACTCATGATTATGCCAAAGAACCTATCTGCTACATACATGCAAAGCAACAGGCAACAAGAACAAGCCCCATTGTATACTTTCTAGCACTCCTTTGTGGACAAAAACCAATAATGCATGTAAGTTTTCAGCAAAAATAAGTGCACTGTAATTTGTTGGCTTGTGAAGGAAGCCAAAAGTCTGCTAAAACATCAGGCACCTTGATCAAGTGGTCATCTAATTTCCATACCAAATATGGTGTCAGTTACAAAACTTTTGGATTGCTAAACCATTCGATTTGTTCTTGATTATTGCAATAATCAACAAATAAAAGTGAAAAACAACCAAACACAAGTGCTTCATCAAATTTCACAACCCTTGTTCATATGAAGTTTCTGCCATGATCCCTTTCATTCATTGAATAATCCAACTTATTGTATTCTTGATCGATCATAATTACATAATATAATTCTTTTCTCAATCCAATAGTCAGTCCACGTAATCCTATTAGAGTCAGTACGAAAAGAAATCTACAAGTATTCAAACAATGCTCCATCAAGTAAAGAAATAACATGTACCTCGTTGATGGCCAGCACTTGCCCATTGCTCTTCTTCACTTTCTTGAGTTTCCTCAAGAAGTACCTAAGCGAATCAGCGACAACCCAAACAAACAACAGTACGGCCTCGTAAGTAAACGAAAAAACCAGAAATGATTTCTTGCCTACGTCACTAACCAATACTTCACCGAAATAAAAAAAAAAAAAAAAAAAAAAACATCCCAACCTAACAATAAGTGGTGGACAAAATACATGTATTGGGTATCAACAATAATCTTAGATTGATACCCAGGGTTCAAATTAATTACCAGAACTTCGATTTGGCACGAACCTCGTTCGTGGCCCAGAGCTTCATCCTGTAAATCTTCGGATGCGGATCCGCCTCGGAGGGGAGCGCTCTCCCGACCACCTGATACTGGTGAAACTGGATCGAACAAAAAAAATAAAAAAATAAAAAAACAGATCAACACTAACGCAAAAGCTGAAGAATTCAAAGTACTAATGAAACCAGAAAATTTAATAAAGAAAATCCGAAGCTACAATTTATGAAAAAAAAACTGAGAGATTGGGAGAGAAATACCCTGAAAATGCCCATTTTCAGATGAGAGGAGGCACGGCAAGTCGGCAACACCCAACACCGTTCTCAGTGTAGGAAGCGAAAAGCGGTGGAGGTTCTTATTTCGTTTATATACGAGAAGACGATGAGCTATGCGGGAAAACCCTAAATAAAAACGTAGGAAGTACCAAGTAGGAACAACTGAACATCTGCTGGGCTGCACTGCACTGGGCCTAACTCGCATAAGGCAACCTGCCCACTTTAACTACTGGGCCGAACTTTTCTATTAGACTAGACCAAGACCCTTCTAAGAATCTAAGTCCTTTTCTAGGCTAATAAGACCGGCCCATCCTTAAGGACCTTAACTCTTAGCAGTGAGCTAATGGACACAATCATAGAAAAGAGCTTTAACAAATTTATCTATTTTTAATTTAAAAAAAATAAAAAAAAAGAAAATCGAAGCACACCCTAATATTATAAAATCATGGATATAAATATACTTTTTATTACTAAATAAAAAACATATTTTGATACACATCATTAGATAGTTTTGGTGGTGGATGTTGTAGTGGTGGAGCTCAAGAAACCAAGGCCCCGATCACTTTTCGAGAAGTTATTTAGCTGGGTAATGTTATGGTCACACCATCCGACAAGGCACCGCGGCGCAGTCATAGGCAGCAGCCGCATAGCAAGCCGCACAACAGTGGGCACCGCCTGACAGCACTGCAACATGCACTGCCGATAGTGCGCAGCACGCATCGCCAGGCAGCAGCGCGCACCGCCGCACCGCACGGCAGCACGCACCATGCACACGCCCGGCACCGCATGGCAGCGGCACCATG